ATTATATTTTATATATATTTTTAAAAACTAAAACCTGATTTTACTCAAAAAACAAATACCTAGTAGGTTAATGTGGATCCTTGTGCACAAGTTTTATGAGTGTAGACGGTTGTTACCATCACACCGAGAACAGCAGAGACCCTGACAACGACAGCTAACACGCCGTTCGTTGGCAACAACCGTGTCCGAGCTAAGAACCCTATTATCAAGTCTGACTTTACTAATAGCATTTTAGACAAACAAGATTAACTGGTTTCAAACTTCAATTCTCACTTTCACACAAGACAGAATCTCAATACAAATTCTGATTATGGTTTTTAGCACATATAGATTAATTATAATACAGCACATGTACATTTACTAAAAACTTTATTCTGTGCATATACTAGGTTTGACAGGGACCACCTTTTTACCTTAAAGGTTCCTTAAAGAAGACTTTTTATAAAGTAAAACGGTGGGAAACTAAAACTGTTCCACTTGAGGAGTTCTGGATAGAGCATATTAAGAGACGAAAAAGATTTTTTTAATCTTATATGCAAAATGTTTACATATTTTTTTTTACAATTGTGGTATAATTGCTGCTCTAATTGGGTCACTCTTTCAGCTAAACGCATGTTTTAGAGTCTCTTATATACAGTTAGCGATTAATCGATTACTACAATAGTTGAGGATTATTTCAATAATCCCTTAATCACGATTAATCAGATTTATTGTTTCAGCTTTGGTTGATTTGCAATGTTAACTATCAAGCAATTGATAGCTGATCTGTGAGTGTGATTATTAGCCTACTATGATGGAAAGCAAGGCGTTAGTCAATGTAAACTGCTAACTAATGTGTTTTATAAAAAAATATGTGGAAGTTCTAATGGATGATATTTCCATAATTCGATATATGTAACATTTATTGTTAATAGTGTTGAAATTGGAAAATGTTTCTGTTGCTGATGGTCTACAAAGAAAACATTTTTTTTTAAATTGACCAGTTTTGGTTAACCAGAACTCTTATTTTAAGATGAACCAAAAGAACAAAATTAGAAACTGACTATATTCCCCTTGTCATATAATTTTAAAAGAATCCTACTACTTTAAATTTACAGAAACATAAACTGTGAACCAATATGTTACCTTTGTAATCAGTGGTATAAGTTGCACTGCATTCTGTGTGGGATAAGATGGTTAAAACGTCCCTGCATCCTAGGTTTGTTGTCTTTGTTTCTCGTTAAAAGAATGCCCGACTAACCAATACATTTTTTTCTAACTATGCTTTTATAACTTATTTAAAAGATGTAAAAATACGGAAATCAAACTCAACTTTTTATATACCACAATATGTTTGGCTTTGTTGAAATGTGGAAAGAATTAGACTTTTTGAAAGACGGACAGAGGAGCAGAAAAAGACAGATATAGGCAAAGAGAGAGAGAGAAGGAGGGAGAGCAAGAGCACGAGTTGGGAGCTGGGGATGATTTCTCCAGGGATGAAGGATGCGGATGTGTGTGTCTGTGTGGAGTGTGTGCGTCTGTACGTCTCGAGGGAGCGGGGGTGGAGGGAGAGGGGGATGAGGGAGAGAGCGGTGGAGTAGAGAGCGAGGGAAGAATGAGCGAGCCGGCAAAGCGGGGAGGGGGATGAGCAAAGCGGTGGTGGGGGTGATGTGCAGTGGTGGTGGTGTTTGAGGGAAAGCGAGGCGAGGCAGAGCTGATTGAGATTCGGGCCTCCAGAGCTGCAGGCTCGCTGCTGCTGGGAGCTCAGACAGAACACGCTCAGTTATTGGAATTTTTTTTTTTTTTCTAATGAATTAATTCTTCTCATCCAATTTAGGTGAAGATGAAAAGAGAGCAGGGCTGCAAGCATCAAATTTAGCTTTTTGTTGACCGGGCCTAGCCTGTTCTGCTCCCATTTTGTACGGTTAATATCTGACACTTGTAATATATTATAGCTTTTTTTGGTCTGCTGCTTTCGAGAAGCCTTGTTTACAAAAAGCAAAGAAAACCCGACCAGTAACAACATGAAAAGAAATTTCCTTTTTCTATTACTTGAGACGTTCTGCTCATGTTTATTAACACGATAACAAAAGAGCCCCCCTTGTTCCACTAATAATAAAGTGTAAACTAGTTTTTACTTACAAAATGCTGAAGCTGAACCCCAACCAAAGAAAACTACCCTTCCTTTTTTCCCCTTCAGATATAAGATAAATACACCTTAATATAGATACCATAAAAAAAAGCATATTGGATGCAAAATAATGCTATTTTAATTACGAGCTAAAGGAAAAAAAAACCTTCAAAAGGGACATATAAAAAATTTAGCATGAGAGGGTGATGACTGTGTGGAGAATGCAGTAGGTGCATGTATGCCCCTTTTATAAGCTCTATTTTTTTTGGCATAGTTTTTGCAGTAAAATGTCTGATAAAAGAGCTTCAACCAATTAAAAAAAAGATGAAAACTAAATTGTATTGTTATTCTGAATTTTTATATAATTTCAATAAATTCTGCTTTATTAACCTACGGATCAGAAAATACCAAAATGTAATATGTTTTTATTACACCTCCTATAGAGTATCTTAAACTCCTGTTATCCAGCGTCAAACATAATTCAAAAAGTATATTATGAAACACTATTGTTTAAATGTAATGTTCAACAATAGTTTCTCTATCTTGGTAACAAATTCTGCATGAACAATTTGATTCATCATTGAACTAATACTTCTGGTTGGTTGTGAAGAGTCAGTAAGGCTAATGCAATTATATCTGTTGTATAATAAAAATCCATATCAGCTCAGTTAAAGGTTAGGAACCTTGGTTGAGCAATAATTAAAGTTTGAGTCCAATTTTAATTAGCTTAGCCCCACCGCTAAAGCTAAAGCTTTTTAACAAGATAGTCGTTATCAATAAGAAGCACATCTTAACTTTGTTTAACAGAGAGATGTCATCCCTTTTTGTATTTCAGCAACAGGCGGATTCTTAATGTTTTTTTGTGTCATGTTACAACGTATACATTGTACAAACTGCTTCCTAAAAAAGGTTTAAATTTTGATTTCATTTCGCTGATTAACCTAAAAAAATGCTGCAGTGACATTCTTGGTCTTTGTTCAGACTTCTATGTACAGCTCCTCAATTCACCTAAAGAGGTTCATTAAAAAGAACATGCAACAATGTAAACATTCATTTGCATGAGGCCAACTAAATTTTCAGAAGTGCAAACAGAGCACCTGTGTGCTAAAACATGAGATTAGGTCGTACCAATAGTGGGTTATTGCTACCATATTAGTGCAACATTAATGTTGATTTTGTAGCAGTGGTAAATCTGTGAAGTATAATTGTGACCATCATGGTGCAGAATTTCTGGGCACACCAATGCCATGATGCTCTTTGACATGTTCAAAAATGATGTAGCATCCTTGCTTAGATCTAGATTTAATCACAAATGCTTCAGTATGAGATTAGGAGCAAAGAAATGCTTCAGCGGTGTTTACCGGTAGTTAAAGTCACATACAAACAAACATACATAGCCTTAAAAGCAGCATTGAGAAAGGTAGGCATGAAACAATTATAGCTAAAATAGCAGTGGTTTTCAGTTGGAGTTATCTAAAGGCAAAGTCAACGATGGAGATGCACCATATCTTAATTAATTTTCTTATTTCTAATTATTTATGTTTTTCAAACCATAATAACATAAGAGTTGAAGATAAAGGAGGGAATAGCTACAATAGGTTACTAAACATCTTAAAAATTGAAACAAAGCTAATTTGAAATCAAAACTAAAAAACAACAGTAGCTCCTTGTTATAAATAACCAAAAGTTTTCTAGTCACTTTACCAGCTCACATCCTGTGACAGGTCAGCTTAGAAGTTAATTACACACACACCGAGGCACCTTTGAGTGAGTGCACAGTGTCAAGTCCTGAAAACAAGAGGTGCATATAGCTGTTGAATGTCAGAACAATCTGGTCTGGTACTTCAGCTCAGGGTTCATGGTGGAAGGAACATGGAATCCCTTTAGCTCAGCTGCTTGGAACTGACAAGGTATCTGGATTCAGATTCATTTAGACAGTCAGCAGAAGAACACTAAGAGTCAGCGAGCCGTCTGGATCAGACCGTGAAGAAGTGCATTTTCACTCCACCTCACAGGGGAATACTGTCCCCAAAGACAGAAGCCATTGAGCTCAGCATTATTGCTTCCACAAGACCTTTGTGTCTGCTTTGGATCATTTTACCTGTGCAATTAGTGTTTCCTTTCCTTTTGTTGGCTTCCATCTGTGTGTCACTTATTATAAAATCTACACTAAACCACACTTGGCTAACATATTACTGCTGTCCTGATAGCTTTGCCTTTGGAGTACCTGCAGATTTAAGAATCAGTCTGTGTCTTTAACATGGCAAATGCCAGAGGGCTGAAAGGGCAGATTTCTGATGAATGACAGAAAAGTAAATATAAGTGGCATTTTACTTTAAAAAAAAGAAAGAAAGAAAAACCAGCATTGCTTTATAAAAATAGCCCCCAGTATTTAATTAGAACTTTTTCAATATATATTTTTAAATAATTAGCATGGTTAAATATAACAAGACACTTTTTCTGTGATTAGTTTTCTACATTCATGAAGGGCAAATTTTACACTGGATATAAATAATTTGTTCTAAATAAATCAAAGCAGCTTTCATTATAAAAAAAACAAAACAAAAATATCATACGAAAGAGAATAAAAACTCACTATTTCTAAGTATCTGGCATTACAATTTCAACTTTGCAATGCTATAGAGAAGAAAAAGCATTCTAAAATACTGGAGATTTTTTTTACAATGCATTTATAAAGAAACAAACCTTCAGTGTTTGAGGATAAAACCATTAAGGACTATTTCAAACATAATAGAAATGAAAAAGAGGATGAAAGGAAATCAAAGGGTTTAATGGATTTGATCTTAAAGCACTTTTACACCTTTTCAGGCCATTATCATAGCCTAGATCAATTATTTATGGCGAGGGAAGCTCGAGGGTCAGGTGTTACCTTTGTAAACATTGGCTTCCCGTGCTGGGTGACCATGGTGCACTGATCACAGTCCAGGGTGATGCAGGAGTTGTGGAAGGACTCCTTGGAGTGTTTCAGGATGTAATGGAGCTCGGTAACGCCGCCTTCAAACACTGTGCTGAAATAACGGGGTATCAACGTCCGGCCGATTGCTGCAGGGAAGAGGAAGGACAGGAGGGGAAAGTTGAATAATGAAGGAAACCTACATGAAATTATGTGGGGGGGAAAAAAGTGCTAAACCAGTAGACCAAAAACAAAACCCCCAAAAAACTATAATATATTAAAAAACTCAGATATTAACCATACCAAATAGGAGCAGAGCAGGCTAGGCTTGGTCAACAAAAAAGCTTAGAGACAAAAGGGGGTTTAAAACAGTATCACATATACTTTTTTTTTTTGCTCATTATACTTGCAGTTCTTTGCTTTTTACCAATAAGTTAGATGCCTTGCCTAAAGACACTTCAGTCTGAGCTGGCATTGCTTATCTATCCAGTCACATCCCCACAGGTGAATCTGCCATGGCATCCTGGGAATGGCACTGCGCTGCCACGTAACAGTTATCAACAAACTGTTTATGCTGCTTGAGGTGTATTGAATTTCGGCGGGTTTAAACACATAAAGGAAAATATATTTAGTTGTGATGTGGTGGAACAGAGGAACACAAACTAGTGCACAAATGTCTTTATCAGAGCCGAAGTGTTTGCATATACTATTTAATCAATGGCCACCTTTCGAGTCAAAGCTTCGTAGAACCACCATGTGCTGCAATTTTAGCTCTAAATATTTTATTTACCCATTATTATTTTCAATAATAGCTCAAGCTAGGCTAGAGTGGGTAAAAAGAACATTGAACTTCTAATCTATGGTCTTACCAGAGACTCAGTTGGATTTAGATCAGCTCTGATCTCAACCATCCCACCCAACACATAACGCACGAGCAAATATTGAGCACAAAACACAAACAATGAATCGTTAATGATTCATTTAGATCAGAGTATATACATATTTTTAATGAAATAGCTGTTAGTTTGACAATTTTTTTCTTAGTTTTTTTTTTAGCTAGAAAAATGTTTGCAGCAGTACTGTAGGTATACCATACACTGACATTATAAATTATTATGTATTCAGATCTTAAAGCCATGGCTCAACATATTTCTGGTACAGTTCCAACAAGAAACCTTGTTTAAAACATACAAATTATGTTTTATTTTACTTCAATCAACTATTCAGGTTACTGTATATCATAAGTTCCCAAACAAACCCCTAAAATACAGGGCTAGAGACTTCTTTCTCCCTGCAGGTGGGCTGGTCACCCCCTTTAACACCTAAAAAGAAAAATGGAATAACAACTATCAGGAGCTTCGGTTGGATTTTTTTTTTCATTACCTCTGCATAAATAACTACTACTGTAGCTCAACAGTTCCTCTCATTAACAGAGATTCTTTCAACTTACATTGAATGCAGGATGCACAGATGTTTGGCTGATTGGCTGCACCAGGTAGACATCAAGATGTTTTAGGATATTTGCTTCGGGTTCAGTTTAAAGCAGTTTGCTCTATCTTTCCTTCTCCAATTTATACAAGAAACCTATTGTCCCCAAATCACAGGGTCTAGTGATAAATTTCTGCTTTATGTAATACTTATATCAGGGTTTTTTATTTGTGTCACAGAATATGGCTTTTTGCACATACAACACTATTTAGTTTTCTACTAACCTAAAGTAACAGTGCTTTACCAGATGCAGGTTAACTAAAATGTATTCATGCATAAAGTTATATTATCTATTAAAATCTGCAGGTTTAACATGAAATCAGGTGTGCACAACACTAGGGATTACAAATGAATTAGTCAGTATAAACTCCAAGCTTTGTTACTTTTACCAAATTATTATCCAAACCTTAAAGGAAGAATATGAGTCAGATAAAAATTCTTAAGCATCTCTTCAGCTTATGTTTTATGTTCTAAGCGAAAGAAGTAGTTTGTGTCTCCATTAAAAACCTCACACAGCAGGAGGTAGCAGGCCGAGCTGTGTGCTAGGGCTGAAGCACCACAAATTACCCTACTGTTTTTGCACTGCAGTTGTGCATTATATGGTTCAACAAATGAGATAAAGGGAGATCATTAGAAAACTTCAGAGAGATGGACAGGCATAAATTTGAACCTTATGGATAGAACTGTGCTATTTCCTGCGTCTTGGAGATATTTTAGGCTCGACTAATTGCCTCCTGGCTCAGCACACAAACAAAAAGAGTCTGTCTGCTTTTTTTTATACTGTGCTCACTAGTTGGTATATATATATTTTTATTTATTATTATATATCAGTTTTATTCTGAAAACAAGCAGCCCAATGAGCACTTTGCAGCAAATTCCCATAGTAATTTCACTTAGATAAGTGTCTACAATTCTCTCTAATAATGTGTTGTAGCACTAATTGCCATTTTAACAGGTCTCTTTATGTAGTTAATATACAAAGGAATAATAATAACAACAACAATAGTAATAATAATAATGATAATAATAATAATAATAATAATAATAATGATAATAATAATAATAATAATAATAATAATAATAATAATAATAATAATAATAATNAATAATAATATACATTTGCATTTCGGTATAAAATACCTCCTACCATAATAGTGGGAAAACTTGCAATATATTTGTTCTGATGATGCTAATATTGTCAAAATTAATGTTGTTATTCTGAAAAAAGTAACTTTTATTATTATAAGTTTTAATGTTTTAATTAGCTGTAAGAGGAAAAGTATCATGCTGAAAATTAACACAGTTAATTAAGTTAGAGGAATAATAAAAATTATATAAAATCAAAGCCAAGTACTTAATTTTCTCATCCTTTAAATACAAAGATACCAAGATTACTAATACAAGCAATAATAACAAAAATAAATATATGGCGTGCATAAAACGCTTTAAGAAATCAAGAAAGGACAAAGAATTCCAATGTTAGTTTGTGTTTACTGTTTGACACCTTCCATATCAATGAAAATCACGGGTGCAGCTGAGACATTTGTTCTGCCGCTAGGCTGCTTTTAATTATTAGATGAAAGGTGAGTCTTGAGGAGGGCTCAGAATTATTGTACATTTAAATATATAAATCATGAAGAAGATGACTTTCTAATTGAGGTCATTTAGAAATCAGAGCTTTCACTGAGGCAGACACTATATGGATTTTGTCACTGTTACTTATAGGCTTAAGAAATTCCACAACTAAAATCAATATTAGGTTTGAAGAGCACTGGCAATAACAGTCCATCCAAACAGCCCACATATATATTTGGATGCAGAGAATAAATGTATTTAACTTGAAATATAGCAGCTTAGTAAAGTTTACATCCAAATCACCCTTAACGATACTGATTTTAAGAAAAACATTTACATTGTGATTTATTGTTATTTATATCGACACAATGTGTCTGTGAGCTCAGTACGCTCTGAACATCAGATTTTTCCTCAACTCTTCTTAAACAGAGCTGAAGGCTCAAATCATTCAACAAACAGCTGATATTTAAAACCTCTTTAACCAACAACTAAATGTTTCTGTATATTATTCTTCCAGGGTTAGGATACCTGTACAACATTTATATGAAATGTTTCACATAATCACAGAAAGCTTCTGCAATGCAAACTTTCAACAGTAGCCTGAAGAGACAATGAGCATCTGCATGATGTAAACCGGAGGAGTCAGTATTGTTATTGTATAAGTAAATATGTTTGTATTAATATATTTTGAATGGTTATAAAAGCCTCAAAGCCCCTCTACCTCAGCAAAGTGACCAAAAATTACCCTATATCTCCCAACAAGGCATCTATATTGAAGAAGCATGTCAAAATACATTTAGAAAAGGTCCAGTTGCCAAATTTAAAATCCATGAGCTGTACCAAAAGCTGCATATGTATTTTTAAAAACAGGCAATCTAAACTGAGATTTGACAAACATCCAAGAAATAACCTATACGTTGAACATAAAGTCATAATTAAACAAATGAAAAGATAAAAAGATAATACATATACACTCCTGCTTAAATATGTATGCATAGTTTCAAAACAAATCTCTATTTACTGAAAAAGCATATACTCACACTAAAATTAGGTGAAATTCCAACTTTTTGTTTAGCCACATTTCTTGAATTAGGGGGAGAAGAACAAACTTCTTAGATTAGTTTTTTCTTTATTATTAGAGGCACAAGTGTTGACGATAAAAACAACTATTTCAATTCAATTCAGTTTCAATTCAGTTTATTTATATAGCACCAATTCACAACACATGTCATCTCAAGGCACTTTACAGAGACGATTCAACCAGATCATGCAGTCAAATTGATTAAAAGTTTTCTATCCAAGGAAAACCAGTTAATTGCATGTACTCATTGAAACAAAGGTAATCCCTAACACCAAAAATGCTTGTGCGACAGTGGAGAGGAAAAACTCCTAAACTGGAAAAAACCTCCAGCACAACAAGGCTCAGTATGATTATTTATATAATTTTACCTTCTTTAAATTTTAACCAATAATGTTTGATCTTCTGCTTTATTGGAATATAAATATAATATGACACAGAGTAAGACTTCTTAAGGTACTGCCCACAAGGCTGAAAAATGACCTACTTCTAATCTCCACTAATCACAGTGAGAACTTTGGTAAGGAAGGAGTTTTAAAAAGATTCCAAAGCATTTTATTTATTTTCGCAAAGTTCCTGACAACTATTAGATAGTGATGAGCAAACCAACTGGGAATGATGCCAGAAGAAACTCTTCACAGGTTCAATCAAAAAATCAAAAAACAAAAAGTTGCCTCAATTCTACAACAACTTTATCAAGCACCATGTTTTTTAATTACGACTCCTAAATTGGGGTTTTGAATTTGAGTTTTGCATCCAATAAAACGAAAAGAAAGGATGTATATATATGCATGGTGGAGGATAGATGATGTTTAGGGAAATTTTCACAACTAATGATCATAACAATCTTATTAGGGGCTTGTATTAAAATTGACTATTTATAAAAACAATTTTAAATAAATACTCCCCCAACGAATAAAGGTACTAAAATTAAAGTTTTAATTTTTGAAGCAGTTTGTTTTAATTTAGGATTATGCTAATTCAACAAAACATTGTTTTCAAAATTTT